CGGGCCCTCGGACGGAGCCCTAGTTTCCAAATGGTCAGTCTGCCCCTGTGGTTTACACATATACCTGATTTTTTAGGCACCACAATATTGCTTTGCACACGTATGTGGGGTTTATATCCACTAATAATGGTTATGGATGTTGGTGTAGATCAGGGGTCTTGGAACTGTGGCCCTTTACCTGCCTTTGTCTGGCCCTTGGGGCACTATTCCTACCACTGACACCAATGATGGGGCATTATTACTCTCACTGACACCAATGATGGGGCACTATTACTCCCACTGATACCAGTGATGTAATTTTTTGTACTCCAACTGCCCCCCAAGTCTATGGCACTAAAGCGTGAAGGGCAGTAAACTGGTCCTTTGTTTTGAAACTTTGGAGACCCCTGGTGCAGGGGCGGACTGACAACTCATGGGGCCCCTGGGCAATAGGGGATCATGGGGCCCCTGTGTCCTTGCCCAAACTCAAAAAAAAAGCCTATGAAAAAGGTACCAGTGGCATCTCTTGTGGCCCCCTACTGACCCCGGGCCCTTGGGCAGTGCCTGAGTTTCCAAATGGTCAGACCGCCCCTGCCCTGGTGTAGAGGATTCCAGCACATGAGAGGTAGTTTTTTGTGTAGCAGTGGAGTTTGGTGTGGGGACTTTGGTTCTTGTATCTCTTGGTCAGGGGTGGACTGACCATTCAAGCACTCGGGCACCGCCCGAGGGCCTGGGATCAGTAGGGGGCCCCATGAGATGCCCCTGGTACCTTTCATTGGCTTTTTCATAGGCTTTTTTGGGTGTGGGCGAGGACACAGGGGCCCCATGATCCCTTATTGCCCGGGGGCCCCATGAGTTGTCAGTCCACCCCTGCTCTTGGTACAGAATGAGTTGATCTTGGTATAGAGGATTCCAACACATGAAAGGTAATTATTAGTGTTAGGGTCATAGGAAAGGCTTGTATCAGGTGACACCACACCACCACTTTAATCTGTTAGGATTAAAGAATATATTGGTGTCACCTGCTGATTGAATGAGAGAACAGCCACACATTAAGTCATTACTTTATACACTCTCTGCTCTCTTCTCCTCTCAAAATGTTCCTGATTGGCTGCCCCTTCCTCTCTCAGCCTGCCTTCCCTCTCTCAGTCTGAGTGCTGCTGTGCAGAGGATGACAGGGAGCTGTTGATATGAGGATTCATGTACTTATACACAAATATACAGTGTTTCACTATTTATGAAGGAATACGCAACTACTTTAAAGTGGTGATTTTCATATCTACCTGGAGTTCAGCTTTAAATTCCTTCCTTTAAATATTTTTTGAGTTCAGCTTTAAACACTACCCGCACTTGCTTGATAATTTACACCGTGGACTTGTAATATTGGAGGGATATAAATCACTTTTTTCAGCGTTTGCAGTTCATCGAGCCATGTCAGGACTGCAGCCTGAAGCTTTCCAGAGGATGTTCTGGTAGCCAAGCCTGTAGGGGGGTCATCTGTCCTTTGAGCAGCAGCAGGAAGGCATAGTGAAATAGTCAGCTGCCCTGTCTTTATTTGACTGTAATCAGTATACCACCATATAATACCCACTACTCAATACTTCCAGGTATTTGTTACCTTTCAGAAAGATCATGGTACCCATCCTGACAACACCCTTATCTACTTTTCTCTCCAAAAGAATGGCACCATCATTGTCCAGGATCACCATCTACTATGTGGATTGAAATACCAGTTTAGAGTTGACAAAGTCATATAAATTCTGGTGCCTGTTCAAATCTTGGCTATGTTCACAAATGCCTGGCACAGATCAGCCCCCTGCTGCAGCCTCTCAGCTTGTAACTCACTACAAAATTACAATGGACAGACAGACTGATCAATGGGGAAGTGGAGACTGAAGAAATGCTTCATCCTGCCAACAGCAGACTGATGGCATCACCTCAGTTAAGGGAAAGTCACTGGACTGGCTTTTTAATGATAATAGAGTTTGTTAAGAAATGTATTTATTTATTTATTACATTTGCTTCACATCAGTCCCTGCCCTCAAGGGATGTACAATCTAAGGTCCCTAACTTACATTCATACATACACATACTAGGGACAATTTAGACAGGAGCCAAATAACCTACCAGCATGTCTTTGAAGTGTGGAAGGAAACCGGAGTACCCAGTGGAAAACCACACAGGCACAGGGAGAACATGCAAACTCTAGGCAGATGGTGCCGTGGTTGGGATTTGAACCAACGACCCTAGTACTGCCAGGCGGAAGTGCTAACCATTTTATACTACTACTGTATATTGTGGCATGCCAGGAATTTATTCATGCAGCACAGTGGCTAAATGGTTAGCACTTCCTCCTGGCAGCACTAGGGTCCTTGGTTCAAATTCCAGCCACGGCACCACCTGCCTGGATTTGCATGTTCTCCCTGTGCCTGCGTGGGTTTCCTCCGGGTACTCTGGTTTCCTCCCACACTCCAAAGACATGCTGGTAGGTTAATTGGATCCTGTCTAAATTGTCCCTAATATGTGTATGTATGAATGTAAGTTAGGGACCTTAGATTGTACGCCCCTTGAGGGTTAGGGACTGATGTGAATGTACAATATATATATATGTAAAGCGCTGCGTAAATTGACGGTGCTACATAAGTACCTGAAATAAATAAATAAAATGCAGACTTGTAAAATATAAAGACTTTAAAGTGTTTTCCTTTTTTTCGTTTTCAGATAATCATAAAAAATGTTAATGGATTTAAAATAAAGTTTAAGTATATATAAACCCCGGATTTATTTTTTAGTATTTTTGGTATCATGCATCACTGTTTGCAGTTCTCAGATAATTTTTTGAGGATCTGTTGTGAGCTCTTTCCATTGGCCATTGAGTTGCCTATCTGCTAGATCTCATTGGTATCCCAACAGCTAACTGAAAGAGCTCATACAGCAAGCTGACTACACTGACTACACTGCTGATAATTGTAAAGCAGTTGTTTAGCGTTGTCAGGCTGCTACAGGAAGTGCTGTTACTGGAAGGATCTCAGGACTTGTTTGGAAAATAAACAACTGTAAACTGTATTGATATCTGATTGATGTCAAACTGGCTGAAAATTATTTCTGAAGCATACAGCCACTCACAGCCATTGAAGTCTATCGGCTTCCTACTTGGCAGCCCATAGACATCAATGGACTGCCTCTTTGGCCGTGGGTGGGGCCAAACTTCCAGCTGCATATGTAGCCAATCAGAGTTCTCCTCTCTCCTCACCCCTACTGCAATGTCCTGTCGGCGCCGGAGAGACACAAGAGAATGAACGGGCTGTCCGACTAGTTCATACTGGAATTAGTAACAGGCATTTGGGGTGTGTTTTTGCCGCTCTCTGAACGCCTAGCAAAGCAGTCTACAATGCATAATATGGACAGCGGACAGAGCTGTTCGCATTTAAAAAAACATGGAGTATTTGCATCGTTTCTTGTCGCTGTGCAGCAAAAACATGGCTACATGTCGGGAATTTACCGCACGTTTGACAGTATCAAATGTCATTGAGGTGGAAAAAAATCACTTTCCCCTTAATAAAAAAAAATAACTTATACGGTAGCTGGGATGCATTTTTTTTAACACGCCTTAGCCACTTGCCCTCCAGGGGATTTAGCCCCCCTTCCTGACCAAACCATTTTTTTGCGACACGGTGATGCGTTACTTTAACTGACAATTGCGCGGTCATGCAACGCATGTATTTACTAGGCACTCCTACATATATCACATATCCAGCATCTGATCTTCTGATAAACTATTTCTGCATCTTGCCAACCTAAGGTTCACCTCCCCCAAAGAGAACCCCCTCTTTTGTATTACGCCAGAACCAATTCTCATTCCAATCGGTCCAGTGAAACCACATATCCATCAGAACATTTACACTTAAAGTGTTACTAAACCCACAACAGTAAAATCAGTCTGTATATGCAGTAAAGCATGCTTGTTATCAGGAGTGGACTGACCATTTGAAAACTCGGCACTGCCCGAGGGCCCGGGGTCAGTAGGAGGCCCCATGAGATGCCCCTGGTACCTTTTTCATAGGCTTTTTTGAGTTTGGGCAAGGACACAGGGGCCCCATGATCCCCTATTGCCCGGGGGCCCCATGAGTTGTCAGTCCGCCCCTGCTTGTTATACTCACTGTGGAACCTAAGCGGTTAATTCTCTGCATTGTGTAAAAAGGCTGTTTGATCCTGTCTTCTCTGGTCCTCCCCTTCTTCCAGTGTCCCCCTCTTATCTCCTGATAAGACATATTGTGTGGAGTCACTCTGCACATGTTCAGTTTGGTGTGTATTGCTAAAGAGGTTTTTGTTTGGGGGGGGGGGAGTGTATGTGATCAGCACAGGGCCAATCAGAACTGTCCAGATAGAGGTCAGGGGTTCTGCATCCTTCTAGAGCAGAATGAAAACTCCTTCTACAAGCTTTAAAGGATAGGTTCAACTTTGGGAACGTTACATGTTCCACCCGTTTTTTAGGGTGGTACATGTAATAAGTTTTCATAGCTGCCCGCCTCCCCCCCCTTCCTCTGACAGATAGTACGGGGAGAAGTTTCCCAGTACTATCAGTCAAAGTTGACGCATCATTCATTCACGGACGTCCGTGAATGAATGAACTGCAAGTCCCAACAGTCTAAGCGGCTGTGGGCTTGTAGTTTTTCAATGAACTACCAAGGTGCTGTGGAGCGGCATGGTAGTTCATTGAAGCTTCCTGTCAGAATATCTGCTTAACCGTATATTCTGTATGACTAGCAGATCTTCTGACAGGTCTGCCGGACACCTGCATGGCATCAGTGACCTACTGATCGCTGGTGCAATGCTTTCCAGTAGACAACAATAATCAATGCACATTTTTTTTACCTACACAAAAATGTGCATTTATTATTTTTGTCTAAAAGGTGAACTTATCCTTTAACATGTGCTCTGCTGGACACTGACAGAAGTTACAAGATTGCTCTAACTGCTGATGAGAAAAGGTATTTAGCAGTTTATATTTACTAAGATAATTGCATTTGCATATTGTCTGTACTGTGGGAGATCAGATATAGTGAATGCCGGGTCCGGGGAGATCAGATATAGTGAATGCAGGGTCCGGGGAGACCAGATATAGTGAAGGCAGGGTCCGGGGAGACCGGATATAGTGAATGCAGGGTCCAGGGAGAACAGATATAGTGAATACAGGGTCCAGGGAGACCAGTAGTGAATGCAGGGTCGGGGGAGACCAGATATAGTGAAGGCAGGGTCCGGGGAGACCAGATATAGTGAAGGCAGGAGCCGGGGAGACCAGATATAATTAATGCAGGACCTGGGGAGACCAGATATAGTAAATGCAGGGCCAAGGGAGACCAGATATAGTAAATGCAGGGTCCAGGGAGACCAGATATAGTGAATGCAGGGTCCGGGGATACCAGATATAGTGAAGGCAGGGTCCGGGGAGACCGGATATAGTGAATGCAGGGTCCGGGGAGACCGGATATAGTGAATACAGGGTCCGGGGAGACCAGATATAGTGAATGCAGGGTCCGGGGAGACCAGATATAGTGAATACAGGGTCCGGGGAGACAGATATAGTGAAGGCAGGAGTCCGGGGGGAGACCAGATATAGTGAATGCAGGGTCCGGGGAGACCAGATATAGTGAAGGCAGGGTCCGGGGAGACCAGATATAGTGAAGGCAGGAGCCGGGGAGACCAGATATAGTGAATGCAGGGTCCTGGGAGACCAGATATAGTGAATGCAGGGTCCGGGGAGACCAGATATAATGAATGCAGGGTCCGGGGAGACCAGATTAGTGAGTGCAGGGTCCGGGGATACCAGATATAGTGAATGCAGGGATCCGGGGGAGACCAGATATAGTGAATACAGGGTCCGGGGAGACCGGATATAGTGAATGCAGGGTCCGGGGAGACCAGATATAGTGAATGCAGTATTCGGGGAGACCAGATATAGTGAATGCAATACGGGGAGACCGGATATAGTGAATGCAGGGTCCGGAGACCGGATATAGTGAATGCAGGGTCCGGGGGAGACCAGATATAGTGAATGCAGGGTCCGGGGAGACCAGATATGTTAATGCAGGGTCCGGGATACCAGAATATAGTGAATGCAGGGTCCAGGGAGAGCAGATATAGTGAATGCAGGGTCCGGGGAGACCAGATATAGTGAATGCAGGGTCCGGGGAGACCAGATATAATGAATGCAGGGTCCGGGGAGACCAGATATAGTGAATGCAGGGTCCGGGGAGACCAGATATAGTGAATGCAGGGTCCGGGGAGAGCAGAAATAGTGAATGCAGGGTCCGGGGAGACCAGATATAGTGAATGCAGGGTCCGGAGAGAGCAAATATAAGTGAATGCAGGGTCCGGGAGACCAGATATAGTGAATGCAGGTTCCCGAGGAGACCAGATATAGTGAATGCAGGGTCCTGGGAGACCAGATATAGTGAATGCAGGGTCCGGGGAGACGGATATAGTGAATGCAGGGTCCGGGGAGACCGGATATAGTGAATGCAGGGACCGGGGAGACCGGATATAGTGAATGCAGGGTCCGGAGAGAGCAAATATAATGAATGCAGGGTCCGGGGAGACCAGATATAGTGAGTGCAGGTTCCCGGGGAGACCGGATATAGTGAATGCAGGGTCCTGGGAGAGCAGATATAGTGGAGGACCAGATATAGTGAATGCAGGGTCCGGGGAGACCGGATATAGTGAATGCAGGGTCCGGGGAGACCGGATATAGTGAATGCAGTATTCCGGGGAGACCGGATATAGTGAATGCAGGGTCCGGGGAGACCAGATATAGTGAATGCAGGGTCTGGGGAGACCAGATATAGTGAATGCAGGGACCGGGGAGACCGGATATAGTGAATGCAGGGTCCGGAGAGACCAGATATAGTGAATGCAGGGTCCGGGGAGACCAGATATAGTGAATGCAGGGACCGGGGAGACCGGATATAGTGAATGCAGGGTCCGGGAGACCAGATATAATGAATGCAGGGTCCGGGGAGACCGGATATAGTGAGTGCAGGGTCCGGGGAGACCAGATATAGTGAATGCAGGATCGGGGAGACCGGATATAGTGAATGCAGGGTCCGGAAGAGACCGGATATAGTGAATGCAGGGTCCGGGGAGACCGGATATAGTGAATGCAGTATTCGGGGAGACCGGATATAGTGAATGCAGGGTCCGGGGAGACCGGATATAGTGAATGCAGGGTCCGAAGAGACCGGATATAGTGAATGCAGGGTCCTGGGAGACCAGATATAGTGAATGCAGGGTCCAGGGAGACTAGATATAGTAAATGCAGGTTCCGGGGAGACCAGATATAGTGAATGCAGGGTCCAGGGAGACCAGATATAGTAAATGCAGGGTCCGGGGAGACCAGATATAGTGAATGCAGGGTCCGGGGAGACCAGATATAGTGAATGCAGGGTCGGGGGAGACCAGATATAGTGAATGCAGGGTCCAGGGTTTAGTAACACTTTAAACCATGGGTGTCAAACTGGCGGCCCCCAGCTGTTACCAAACTACAAGTCCCATGAGGTATTGCAAGATTGACAGTTACAAGCATAACTCCCAAAGGCAGAGGCATGATGGGACTTGTAGTTTTGCAACAGCTGGAGGGCCGCCAGTTTGACATCCCTGCTTTAATCTGACTGCACGCTCTACAATTAGATTGTACAATCACAGATTGTATAGTGTATGAGCAGCTTAATGCAAGGCTAAGTATATTAAAAAAATTGTGAATAGGCAGGTTTTTTTATTGTAGAAGAGACATGCAATGTTATCCTGGCACATTGGTAATAAAAGCACACTTACCAACCAGGGGCGGACTGACCATTTGGAAACTCGGGCACTGCCTGAGGGCCCGGGGTCAGTAGAGGGCCCTATGAGATGCCCCTGGTACCTTTTTCATAGGCTTTTTTGAGTTTGGGCAAGGACACAGGGACCCCATAATCCCCTATTGCCCGGATGCCTCATGAGTTGTCAGTCTGCCCCTATTACCAACCCATTCACGATCTTCTGTGGAATGCGCAGCTTGGCTTACATTTCAGCACATTACCAGTTTGCCGGGATGACTTCACTCCTGTGTATGCACAGATGTCATCCCGCACGGGCCAAAAAAAATGGCTGAAGACCAGCACCCAGAAGAACTTGGGGAGAAGATGCTGGAGCTGGCGAGGGACCTCACAGGTGTCGGACCATTGAGAAGCTAAGGTATGTATTTGTACATTTAGTTCTGCTTTAAGGTTTTTTAAATGTGTCTCATAATATGCACACAGGACCAAGGCTTTTTTTGTAAAATGGGGGAATGCAGTTCCGGCACCTCCAGCACTGAATATATGTAATGATAAGGGGCGGTGGGGTGTGCCGGAGGGTTTATTGATGCTGGCTGCTGGGGGATCTATTGTTGCTGGCATGGGTACATTGTTATTGGGGTGGATCTATTGTTGCTGGGTGATTTATTGTTGCTGGCTGCAGGGGAGGCTGCAGGGGATCTGTTTTACTGCTTTTCTTGATATTAGTAACAAAATCCTTACAAACTACTTAGCACCACATAATTAATGGTTCTGTATTCCCTAAAAGGGGCAATACTGGGAGGTGGGTAAGGGAGGAGACAAGAGATGACTTTGGACGGGGGAGGACCTGCACCTATTCTCTGAAAAGAAAAGTTATACATAGTACAAAGCTGTGGTTCATGGCTCACTTATGACATTTGTCTATCTATCTTATTGGCCTAGAATAAATATAGGGCCCACTGGTCTTACCTAACCCTAACATCATAAATAATTGGCATTTTTAAAAATAAAATACTGTTTTCACACCAGGGGCGGACTGACAACTCATGGGGCCCCGGGCAATAGGGGATTATGGGGCCCCTGTGTCCTTGCCCTAACTCAAAAAAGCCTATGAAAAAGGTACCAGGGGCATCTCATGGGGCCCCCTACTGACCCCGGGCCCTCGGGCAGTGCCTGAGTTTCCAAATGGTCAGTCTGCCCCTGTTTCAAACTATTTTTCATCATTTTCCACACCCCAGTGCTTCTGATCTCATGTTTTAGCAGCTGCGTCCTGTCTACTAGCATGGTAGAGGCTTAAAAAAGTGGGCCATTGCCTCAAAACGCGTAGCCATGGCCCCTTTACATCCCTCCGCACGTCACATCACTTCTGGCTCCCCATTCGTTCTGCAGAGTCTCCACTTCCAGCTCCCCAGGCTCCACGTGTCTCCTTGACACCGTAGAAGATGCTGGGTAGCAGCTACAAACTTTATTGAACAAGGAGACCCAGTGCTAAGACCAGACACTGCTTGATAAGCAATTTGTCTTCTCCACAATAAAAGTGTTTTAGCTGCTACACTCAGATTGCGCCCTCTGCTGTTCTTACAGCGCCCAACCGTGTGCTCAGCGCTTTACAATATAACGGGAGACAATACAGCAACAATACAGTTCAATACAAGAGGGATAGGAGGGCCCTGATCCTTGGAGCTTACAATCTAAGAGGGATGGACTAGTGGTACAAAAGGTAGTAACTGTGGGGGATGGACTGGTAGGAGGAGTAGAAGATTCAACTATTAGCTGATGGCAGCATAGGCTTCCCTGAAGAGATAGTTTTCCAGAGAATGCCTAAAAGTGAGCAGAGTAGGTGATAGTCTGATAAATTGGGGTAGAGAGTTCCAGAGGATGACGGAAGCTCTGGAGAAATCCTGGAGACGAGCATGGGAGGAGGAGACAAGGGACAAGAGAGCAGGAGGTCGTGCGAGGAGCGGAGAGTACGGTTTGGGTGATATTTGGAGACAAGATTGGTGATGTAATTTGGGGCAGAGTTATAAATGGCTTTATACGTTATTGTTAATGTTTTGAATTTTATCCGTTGGGCAATGGGAAGCCAGTGGAGGGATTGGCAGAGAAGGGTGGAGGTCAGTGGAGGGATTGGCAGAGAGGAGTGGAGGTCAGTGGAGGGATTGGCAGAGAGGGGTGGAGGTCAGTGGAGGGATTGGCAGAGAGGGATGGCTGATACAGAATGGTTATTAAGGTGGATGAGTCTGGCAGCAGCATTCATGATAGACTGAAGAGGGGATAGCCTGCGATGAAGAGGGAGTTACAATGGTCAATTTATGCAGCGCTTTACATATATATTGTACATTCACACCAGTCCCTGCCCTCAAGGGGTGTCCCTAACCTACATTCATACATACTAGGGCCAAATTAGACGGGTCAATTAACCTACCAGCATGTCTTTGGAGTATGGGAGAAAACTGGAGTACCCGGAGGAAACCCACGCAGGCACAGGGAGAACATGCAAACTCCAGACAGGTGGTGCTGTGGTTGGAATTTGAACCAGCGACCCTAGTATTGCCAGGAAGAAGTGCTAATCATTTAGCCACTGTGCTGCCCCTATGTGATGGTGACAACCTTGAGCCATACCTGGGTAAAATGTGTTAACGCTGGGACTTCAGGGACAAAAACTTTCATTGAAATATATATCTTAATAGCCACAAAGGTTTCACAGTATATCAACTTGTGCTTTAAATGCCCTTGCAAATCCAGATATTACAATGTAAATGTAGCAGCGTCATCATTACTGTGCTGTAGATACCCTGGAAGAGTTGTTGGAGGGGCTACCCACTACAGCAAAAAAACTGGGGGGGGGGGGGCTACAAGACCAAAAAATGTTATCAGCCTTGCCAGCTACCTTCTGTGTAGGACAAATCACTTCCTATCCCCCCTCTATGTAATGGAGATGGGGGGGGGGAATTGGTGTTTTTAGTCCAAATCAGTAGAGCAGCCTAGGGTGGCAACGTTGCTCCATTGTAAATACACTACAGTGAGGGTTGTCACCCCAGAACAGGAAGTGTGTTGCTGGCAGGACCACCAGCTGAGAACAAAGGGAAAAAATGCCAGAAAAGTTAAAACTAATGCAGCAGTCACTTCTAAGGATTGATAAGCTGCAATATATTAAATTTTTGTTTGTTGGTTTAGGTTTTACACTTTAGGCGCTACCGTTTGGCCATGTTATGCCGCTGATTCAGGAAAGACAAAGCAAAAGTGGAGTCACCGTCCACAGAAATTGGTAGGCTTGCCAGCGCAGTTGCTAGGGGCCACAAAATGCCACTGCGAACAATCTAACGCAGCCGCTTCCCAGCTGTCTCGCCGTTGTCTTTTTTTGTGCTACAGCATGCTGTTTCCCGGCCATGTTCGGACTGTTAGTTTTGGCGTCCCGTGTGTGGCCAGCGGCGCTGTCCCTCTCTGTCACCCCTCATCCCCCCCCTCCCCTCCCCGTAGCGTTATGACTTCATTCCCAGCGCAGGCGGCATGCAGGAGGAAATAAATCTTCATAAAGGCGCTTTGTGATTAATGGCGGGTCCCAGGCTTGGTGCTGGACCTTTCCCATTACCCACTAATAGAAAGATGGAGAGCCCCTGTCTGAGACACTTGCCTCCCGTCATTTGTTCCACTTTGCAGTCCATTTGCTGGGGAGAGTACAAGGCACTCCATCAAAAATATTTTCAGAGTTAATTTCCGTCCCTTAATCTGCTTGATTCTTATTTTGTATCGAATGGCAGGATCGATTTTCATTGCGTCTAAATTAAATAAGGGACTTTCCATGCATGGCTGCCCCCCGGAGAGAGGGAGGGGGTAGGGAGCGAGGGAAGGGGACACGCAGGATAGAGGGAGAGCAGGAAGGGACACGACTGAAAGAGGAAGAGGGAGAAAGAGAAATAAATACAATGCCGAGGAAAAAAGAACGCAGATGGAGATACAATTCATATTATAATAAACCGTGTAGTGATGATGGAGAGAATCAATATATAGAGAAATCCGAGAGAGCAAGAGAAACATATAGAAATCTAAATCTA